AAGGATAAAGTTGTACGGGCTGAGCAGGACGAATAATATAGAGGTGGAGGCTAGGACACCCAACTTGGCAGTCTTTGAACCGGCTCTCCTCTCCGCCATTTTTTAAGTAAATATAAGACCGTATTTGAGGGGAGGGGGAGGTGGTTGTATGCATGTAAATGCTACACGTGCTGGTGGTGGGATGGGGGAGGTTAAAATGCGGAGCAGGATTCAGACGATGTTGTCCGGCGGCGGCGGCGGTGATTGCGCCACCAGGCCTGCAGGAGTCAGAGACTCGGCGACGGCCGACGAAGCGTGTGTCCGCGCGTGCACCGACACACAAGGGCGGGCCCTCATGGGGGGCCCAGCAGCTGTGGCATCATTTGAGCGCGGGACTCCGCCAACACCTGCTGTTGCCGTCTGCGGACGCTGAACTAGGACGGGAAGTCTGGTTAGGCCAGACTTGCAGGCGCGTGACAGAAGTCGGTAGGAGGGGTTGAGCTACAATGAAGTTAGAGGGAAGGTGAGAAAACTAGTCCTGGACTGGACCAAAGGGCTTAGGACCGCGCTCGTAGGCATAAATGCTCAACTCAGAAAAAACGGGGGCGCATGACAGTGTGCCCACCAGGACGGAATAGGCTTGAAACCTCAGAGTGCGAAACGAGCACAAATGACAAGCTTGAAGGCCAGCCGTCCGACATCCAACGTTGAGGCTTCTGAATTGTTTCGGCGCCGGAAGACGCCCTGCACAGAGTGCCATAATTATACGCAGGAAAGTGAACGAGCAATCGGCAGTTCGACCGTAGCGAGTGACGTCCACTGTGCGCTCCACAGAGCGGACGCATCAACGATGGCCTTTGCGCGAAGCAGCCTATAGTGGGGCGGACTTTCGAAGCATCTGGCGCACACTACTAATTTGGAAAGGGTCATCACTAACACGCCCTGGTTAATCAGTTTATCAGCCAAGTTCCTTTGGTATGGTAAGGACACGAAGGGCGGCATCCTCAGTTAGAGGGGTAGCCAAGACAGGAGACAGCATAAAAGTTGGCTCACATACCCTTCGTTCCAGAATGCGATGGGGAATCGGTGGCGGTGGTAGAGGGGACTCCGATGTGCTGGCCACACCCTCGTCACACAGTACCTCCATACCAGGACCAAGGATGAGGGTACCGATCCAGGGCCCCTCGGGGGTCACCTTCCCATAGTGCTTAGCTGGAATGTAGCTGGAGACAGAGGTGCTGGTTGCGGAGTCACTGCCCAGCGCAGAATCAGGGTCGCTGACCGCGGAACGCGTTTCTCGTGGACAATAGCCCTGCGTTGAAATTGTGGTTGAGCATGGGGAGCGCATACCGAAGTGAGAGAGATTTGAGGCCTTGTCGGCTCGGCAGAGGGCGCTCAAATCATCCTCCGTGAGGTCAGGAGTCAAATTGAACTGGAAAAACACGGAGGTAAAACAGCACTTGAATATATTAAGATACTTATATGCCTACTTAATTAACTTAGGTAGTAGGTTTTACATGGCCGAATACACCATAAGCTAGTTGACGCCAATAAGACATCCATGAGAACATAAAAAGCTATGAAGAGGAGACGCACCACATCCCTGTCAGCACAACTCGAGGCCTGCCCATCGACCGTGCTGACGTACCCATTGTCTGCGGAGGCGGTAGTCATCTGGTCAATCTTATCGCTGTCCGCAGGTTCGGCGTGCCAAAGGATCGACTCTGCACCAGCAGTCGCTGCTGTTGAACCGGCGTCAGCATGATGCAAGGGTGTTGTTTGGAGAGATGTCATGTAGCTGGAGGTCACCCGATAGGGGCTCACGGCAGTCGGGTCGCTTTCAAATTCTGAGATGGGGACAGAGCCGCTGTCGGCGCTATTGCTGAGAAAAGTTTTCACGTCGACGGCAGTGCGCCGAAAAACTCCCACGCCCTCAATGACAATTGCAGCGGAGCAGTGTGCCAGATCCAAGGTAGTCAACTTAGCCATCCGTCGGTGGCCTACTTTGGCTAGACCCCTGAGCGGTTTCTGGTCACCACAGTGTTCTGTCTCTCCAGTTATCTGCGTCTCCTCTGTTTCGTCGCCCTCCGTCTCCAAAGCCGCACTGCCCGTGTCATCGACGTTTGAACGTAGGGGACCGAGAGCGGAGCTGGGGCCAATGCGAGTGCAGCGTAGTTTTCTTAGCGTAGGCCCCGCCCTCAGGCGGCCACCGCCGCCGTCGCCAGAGGAAGATGAGACCGTTGGGGAGCCCTGGACATCCTTGGGGGCCACGCCTCGACAGAGTTCTCGTCGCTCCTGACAGTCGTCAGGACAGTCTGGCGACTCGACGAGGATGGCTACGGCTCCGGCGGTTCCATTGCCGTCACCGCCTCCGCCACAGTGGCCTCCGCTGCGCGTGAATTCATCCGCCTTGTCACCCCTCAACTTGTTACCCTGGAGAAAGGAAGGCCTGGGAGTATTAATGATTCAGCGACGAAGTCTATCACTGCCCCACGGGGTGGATGCAGTCGTGAATTGTGCTCGCATTCACGGCCATCGGGTTCCCGACCACCCGATGGCCGCGTAACGCTCATCAAATACGACTTGGTTCCTAACTCCACAGCTAGGAAAGTTCATTCAGACAGTCTTCTGTCGCGCGAAGTGTGGCGCTATAAAGGATAGCTCAAGGAGCCACTGCATCCTGAACCTGGATCCTGCGTGAGACTGAGATATGCCGTCAACTGGCACCCTCCCAGGCCTCAATTCAAACCGGTCAGTGAGAAATGCGATGATGTCATATGGATGGATCCCCCCTGCCAGATACCAGTGAACCGTTCGAGTCCGTCAGCTGACTGGTGAGGAGATTGGTCGCCGTAGTTGGCGTGACATGAAAGCCTTCGTCTACGGAAAACATGTACCGCAGTCTCGCGCGCACTCATCGCACTCCGATAAACGCGTGCCATGAGTTACTGTGGCCTCCGTTTTGGTCCAAGGCACCTACCGTGCGACCCATTTGAGTTATGCACACACGCAGGCACGCGCGCGCGAGAGGGAGACGCTTAAATAGCTACTGACAAAGAACAAGTAGACAGTAATAGAGAGGCTAACTTACACTATGGACGTTCCCACCGCCTACATCGCCGCCATAGAGAGTTGGATCGGAGGGGTTGGCTGAATCCGCCAACAAGACGGCCTCACCATTTAGCGCAGTATTTGCCTGCCTCATGCGACCACTCGCATGGTGACTCAAACAGTACACACCCAACACGACGACAATGAAGACCGCCATCACAGCGCCCGCAACAGGACCGACGGGGCTGTTCGGCCAACCGAGACCACCACCAACACCGTCGCCACGATGGTACGGGCTGAGACCTGCGCCAATAGCACCAACAGGACCCAT